TTAGCCTTTTTTGGTTGTTGTGTTTTGGGTCTAGTGTAGAGTTCCTAAAAGTTTGGAAAAGGGCCAAGTATGGTGGTGCATATTTGTAATCCCAGCGCTCTGGGAGGCTGAGGCAGGAGGATCACAAGTTTGAGCATAACCTGGGCAATTTAGCAACTTAGTGTGACCCTGTCTCAAAATAAAAGATTAAAGATGGGCTAGGGAATGTAGCTCAGTGCAAAGGCCTGGGGTTCAGTACTCAACCCCAGTACTGAAAAAAAAAAGTTGAAAAGAATTGAAGTTAATTGTGGACAAAATTTCAAAGCAGGTGAGAAAAATGAAATTAGTAAAAGAGATGATGAAAATACTAGTGCCGAAGACACTGCATGAGCACTGACACATTGTGTAGTATAATTCTGTATTGAAAGAAAATGTAAAACTAACATACAATGGATTATAATTCAATGATGAAAAAATAGGCACCTAGTTTATAATGTAGTATTAAAGTGGGTGATTTTTAGGAACAAGTTACTGATGTTAAATGTGAGATATCTCTTTTGAACTTTCCTTGAAGATCTGTGGTTTAATGAAAGAGCATTTATCTTGTTTGATACCTTATAGGGAAACTATAAACTCTCCACAGATGAGAGGTTTTTAAATAATAGGATGGGATTTAGTGTTGACTGATCTAAGTTTCTCTATGTGTAGAGATCTTATGTTGTGTAAGGCTTTTAGGATTGGGTGGGTTACGCAGAGATATAATCAGGGCCTTATTATATGGTACGACCTAAACTTTTATGTGCTGCCTTGACATGTTTGTCAAGCCCCAAAGGCCTAAGTATGAGTATCCACGCTCTCACCAGATATGCTTGTCTAGTGGAAAAGGCTTTCTTCCCTCCTAGTTCCCCTATCTAAGCCAGTTACACCCTCCTAGTCCTTAACCTAATCGTTTTCACCACTCTGGCAACTCATGTAATTAATCAAACAAGCTAGTCATATCTTCTTCCTCTGGGAACCAGGGAACACTTAATCTTTCAAAGCCTGCCTCCTACAGCTCTCTGTTGTTCTCTCTGTTCCTGGGGTGCAGCCTCTGTGGCCTTGTGTAATGTGTGACATCTTCCCTCAGGCTGTGAGTATGTGTGACTAATAAATTGCTATCAGTCTCATTTGTCTAATATCGGCTATTTAGCTAATAATGCTTTTTAGGGCAGAAGACTGTTATGTCAGCAACAGGGTGGCTAGATAGTAATAATCATGCTGTGAAGTCCTCACTCTCATCTCTTCCCATTTGAAATATTTAATTTATTTTCACAAATAATTCATAAGTTCATTTTTTCAGGGCTCAGTGACATTCAGAGATGTGGCTATAGACTTCTCACAGGAAGAATGGGAATTCCTGGACCCTGCTCAGAGGGACTTATATAGGGATGTAATGTGGGAGAACTATAGCAACTTCATCTCACTAGGTAAGGTTATTATCAGAACTGTTAGCTTTCTCTGCCAATATATTCTGAAAAACAAGCTAAATTTTTACTTTTTTCCCCACAAAGAATGGTTAACCTGGCTGGGTATGGTGGCACGCGCCTAGCACTTGGGAAACTGAGGCAGGAGGATTGCCACAAGTTTGAGGCCAGCTACGTAGTGCGTTCAAGGCCAGCCTGGACCACACAGCAAGACCCTGTCTCAAAAAACCAAACTCCACCCCTCAGAAAAGGAAAGAATGGCTGGGCTTTGTTAGATTGTAAATAGGTTCCACCACTTGAATATGCTCAGCCTGTGGTACCCTTCACATGTCCTTCAGATTTTGTAGTTCCTGTTTCCCCTCGTATCCAAGGGGCTGGATTTGAATATCGTACAAGTATTGTTTAAGAAACTAGATATATTGTGCTTGCGCTCAGAATTGACACATAGACATCATATTCCTTTCAAACTCTCCTAAAACAAGAATACATCCACACCAGGCCACTGGATAACCCTAAAAATCAAAAGAGATAAAAAAGAAAGAGAAACAATGAAAATTAAAGGAGTTTGTAAAGTATATATATAGTATGGGGTGGTCTACAAACTTCATTTAAAATTCAAGTAAATACTACTTTTTTTTCTGTAGCAGACATACTCAGTTCTATGTGCTTTGTGGTTGAAAGTTAAAAACCTAGTCAGGCTGATGACACATACCTATAATCCCAGCACTTGGGAGGCTGAGGCAGGAGGATCACCATGAGTTCAAGGCTAGCCTGGACTGTATAGTTTAAGGCCAGCCAGAAGTACATAGGGAGGCCCTGACTGAAAAAAATAAATAAACAAACAAAATTTAAGAACTCTGGCTGGGGATATCACTCAGCGGCATAAGCGCCTACCTGGCAAGTGCAAGGTCCTGAGTTCAGTTCCCAGTACTAAAACACAAACCAAAAAAACAAAACAAAACAAAAAAAGAACTTTGTATTTAATATTGAATATCCCCAAAAGGACCTGAGAATGTCTTAGAAAGCCTCACCCTCTCAGCAGAATGATAGCAGTAAAAATTAATAGTTAATATACACATGTATATGAACATATCATTGTATATATTGTGCTTAGACACTGTTCTGAGCATTGTTCATTGTTGAGTACACCTCAGTAGCTCCTTAATCATTTTTAAACTTATTTCAGATAAGAAAACTTGGGTACAAAAGGTTAATAACTGACTGAGGTAACAGTAACAGAGGCAGGATTTAAAACTAGGCAGTCTGGATCCAGAGTCTGTGTTCTTTTTTTTTTTGTCTTTTTGAAACAGGGTCTCGCTATGCAGTTCAGATTGGCCTTGACCTCACTTTGTAGCCCAGGCTGGTCTCAAACTCACAAAGATCCTCCTGCCTCAGCCTCCTGAGTGCTGGGATTACAGGCATGTACCACCATGCCCAGCAGAGTCTGTGTTCCTAATCACTGTAAAATATTGCTTCTCAACAGAGCCTGTGTGAGCTTAAATTGTATTAAGGCCTATTCTTAGTCACCTAGGGTCTTATTACTGATCGTCCTGCAGTCACCTAAAGTGAGAGTTCCTCAGCTCCCTTGCATTTATTTGCACTTAGGCTTTATAAGGTACCATTTTTATTTGTGGTTAATTATAAATTTAACCAAATCTGAATAGAAGGGCTTTTAGGTTTATAATTTCATGTTACATTTTCCTTTTAAGCAGGAGCTTCTATTTCTAAACAAGATGTGATTACATTATTGGAAGAAGAAGGGAAAGAACCTGGGATGGTTTTGAAGGAAGGGACAAGAACCTTATGCCCTGGTGAGTGAGAGCTGAGCAGGCACAGGGAAATCATTACTGCAGTTAATAACTAGCCTGCTTAGAGTGGAGGCACATCTTTGAGATCCTTGGAGCTCTCTTCCAATACCAGTAGTTGCCAAGCATGAGTGCATGTCTGTAATCCCATCTACCCGGAAAGCTGAGGCATCAGCCTCCTAAAGGCAAGGCCAACCTGGTCAGCTATCTCAAAATAGAAAAGGCTGGGGATGTGGCTCAATGCTAGAGCTCTTGTCTAGCATGCACAGGGCATTGAGTTCAATTTCCATTATGTCAGAACAAAACAAAACCCATGAGCTGGACATGTGTGTAATCTCGCCATTCATTCTAGAAGGTCAAGGCAGGAAAATTGTAAGTTTGAGGCCATCTTGAGTGAATCAGTGACTTAGCAAGATTCTGTCTCAAAATGTGAAAAAAAAGGGTATGGGGGTGGGGAGCTGGGGACGTAGCTCTGTGTGAAGGCCTTGGATTTAATCCTAAGTACTGAACAAACAAAAAAGCCCTTTGCCTGTAAGGGAACATGTTGAGACCTGAAGTAAATTAAGAACTTTCAAGTTTGGACTAGCAAAGTCACTTTCTGTTGACCTTGATTATACCGTTTTTCATCTCATATGTTTGCCTGCCATTTCAAAGATAGGAGCTGTTCTCATAGATTGAAATGATAATACATATAAGAAACCAACAAAATAGAAAAAGAAAATAAAGTCAAAACTTGACTTCTTGAAAAGATCAACAAAGATAATAAATACCTAGCTTGACTAATCAAGAAAAAAGAGATTACTAATATCATAAAAAGATTACTAATATCATAAAGTGATCACTAGTATAAATTACTAATATCAGAGATACAAAAGGGGTTGGTTTTCATCTCATATGTTATAGCCATTAAAAAGATAACAGGACCTCCACTCTGTGACTCTGATTACAAGTGTAAGCCAGCCTGGGCAATTTAGTGACTTAGCAAGACCCTGTCTCAAAATAAAAATTCAAAAATGGCTGAGTATGTAGCTTAGTGCTATGGCTGTGGGTTCAGTCACCTGTACCAAAAAACAAAACAAGCTGGGTGGAGTCTCACATGCCTGTAATCCCAGCATTTAGGAGGCTGAGGCAGGAGAATTATTGTGAGTTTGAGGCCAGCCTGAGCTACAAAATGAGCTCAAGGCCAACCTTAACTGCATAGCAATACCCTGTTTCAAAAAGACCAAAAAAAACCAAAAATCAAAAAACAAAACAAAAAAAGATATGAAGAGAATTCTATGAATAAACCTGTATTTCCCATGGATTCAGTTATTTGTGGTATATAACTTTGTAGACGATACCGGTTTAGGTATGCATATGTGGTGTTGTTACAGAAATGTCTATATTTGAGAGTGATACAGTCCATCACTTGTAATAAGCATTATTTTACTTCTCCTTGGCAGTTTTATTAGTTCTGGAACAAGAAAATAACATGTATTTTCTTTTTTATTTTCTTACAGATTTGGAGTCCAGATGTAGGACCAATGCCTTATCTCCAGAGAAGGACATTTATGAAATATGTTCACTACAGTGGGAGATAATGGAAAGAATTAAAATCTATAGCCTTCAGGGCTCCATTTTTAGAAATGACTGGGAATGCAAAAGCAAGACTGACGGCCAAAAAGAACCACAAGAGGGGTATTTTGGGCAGGTGCAAATTGGCTCTGAAAAAATGACCACTTATAAAAAGCAAAATTTTCTTACAGATTATCAGAGAGTTCACAATGGAGAAAAGTTATATGAATGTAAGGAATGTAGGAAGACTTTTATTCGTCGCTCAACACTTAGTCAACATCTAAGAATTCATACTGGTGAGAAGCCTTATAAATGTAAGGAATGTGGGCAGGCCTTTAGGCAGCGTGCACACCTTATTCGACATCACAAACTTCATACTGGAGAGAAACCCTATGAATGTAAGGACTGTGGCAAGGCCTTTACAGTGCTTCAAGAACTTACTCAACATCAGAGGCTTCATACTGGTGAAAAGCCTTATGAATGCAAGGAATGTGGAAAGGCCTTTAGAGTACATCAGCAGCTGGCTCGGCATCAGAGAATCCACACTGGTGAGAAGCCCTATGAGTGTAAGGACTGTGGGAAGACCTTTAGACAGTGTACACACCTTACTAGACACCAGAGACTTCATACTTCTGAGAAGCTCTATGAATGTAAGGAATGTGGGAAGGCTTTTGTATGTGGCCCAGACCTTAGAGTACATCAGAAAATTCATTTTGGTGAGAAGCCCTATGCATGTAAGGAATGTGGAAAGGCCTTTAGAATATGCCAACAGCTTACTGTCCATCAGAGTATTCATACTGGTGAGAAACCCTTTGAATGTAAGGAATGTGGGAAGACTTTCAGATTAAGACAACAACTTGTTCGCCATCAGAGAATTCATACTCGTGAGAAACCCTATGAATGTATGGAATGCTGGAAGACCTTTAGTAGTTACTCACAACTGATTTCACATCAGAGCATTCATATTGGTGAGAGACCATATGAATGTGAAGAATGTGGGAAGGCCTTCAGACTGCTCTCTCAGCTTACTCAACATCAGAGTATTCACACTGGGGAGAAACCTTATGAATGTAGAGAGTGTAGAAAACCTTTCAGATTGCTCTCACAACTTACTCAGCATCAGAGTATTCACACTGGGGAGAAACCTTATGAATGTAAGGAATGTGGGAAGGCTTTTAGACTTTATTCATTCCTTACTCAACACCAGAGAATTCATACTGGTGAGAAACCCTACAAATGTAAGGAATGTAAGAAGGCCTTTAGGCAGCATTCACACCTTACTCAACATCAGAAGATTCATAATGGAATTTAATAGAGAAAAGCCTTCAAATGTACATTATGTTATAAAACAACATCAAATCCAGTTTTGAGAAAATTTGTTTCATGCTTACCAGTAAGGATAAGAAATTGTATATTGAAGAAAAGATATGTTGCTTTAAAAGCCTTCCTTCATCATTCAAACATTATCTTCATCAAATTCCTGTAGAGAAAAATGTCATGAATGTTGGAAAATGTTTATCCTTACCTGTCATTGCTTCCTTTTACTACTTTATTATTATTCTGATATTAGACAAGATACTATCATTTTGTGCCTCATTTTGCTCACTTGTAAAATAGTAATATTAGTACAGTAGTTGTATGCATTATTTATTGCTGTGTAATAAATCACCAAAAATTTAGTAGCTTAAAAATACATATTTGTTATCTCACAATTTCTCTGTATCTGGAAAACAGGCATGACTTAGTTGGGCTTCATAGTCACAAGATTAGCTGTGACTGTGGTCATCTGAAGGGTTGACTAGGGAAGGATCTATATCCAAGCTAACAGGATGGATGCCTGGATCCTTTTCTTCCAGGGTGTTACATTGTGATCCTCAGTTTATCAGGCTTTCGGCTGAAGGTTGACTGCATTTCCTTGTCACAGTGACTTCTTCAGCATGACTACTTGCTTCATCAAAGTGTGCAAGCCAAGAAGATTGTTGGCAACAAGATGGAAGTCTGCTAGCATGGAAGTTGTAGTCTTGTATAATCAAATCATGGAAATGACATCCCCATTACCCTCGCTACCTGTTACTGGTTAGAAGTAAATTACTAGATCAGCTTACTCTCACAAGAAGGGAACTGTACAAGAAAACCAAAAGACAGCCACCATTGAGGGGCCAGTTTGGAGTCATCCTGCTCTGCTGTGTAATAGAATTGTTGTGAGGATTAAGTAGTTAATATGTAGAAGAATAGCAATCACATAGCTTGTGTTCTGTAAATATTGTGTATAATGATTAGTATTAGTGGATCCTTTTAAAAGAAAATTACTATAGAAGTAATAAATGTAGAAATGCCTCTTGTCACATCTTAACACTAAATTGAAAATAATTTATTTTAGGTAAAACCTAGGCTATTGTATTGAATGAGAATTTCTTCATTTAAATTGCATCAGAAAGTTCACAATTAAAAGAACTGTATGATCTTCATGAATGTACAGTTGTTAAGAATACAGCTGTCAGGCCAGGGATACAGCTCAGTGGCACAGTGTCTGCCTGGCAAGGGCAAGGTCCTGAGTTTGATTTCTGCTAGCAAAAAAAAAAGCTGTTGAAGAATCAGAATTATGAAGCAATTTTCCCATCTATGATATAGGACCTCTTGTCTAGCATTAGTTTAATGTTAATCACACACTCTGAAAAAGATGGTATAAGAGAAACTACCACTTGGGAGTTTAATTTGGTGCGTGTGTGTGTGTGTGTGTGTGTGTGTGTGTGAAAAACTTTTGTATAAAAGGAAATATTCCATTATAGTCCGTATAATTGCTCCATCTTCAATTAGTGTTTCTAGGTGGGTCTTTTGACATGAGCCTACCAGTAGTCAACTTTTCATTCTTCAATATCGGGAGATGAGCATTTTTTTTGGCCCACGTGGACCAAGTGTCAAGGTCATCAAAAATTCATGAAATCTAAGTGGATTTTTTAAAAAAAGTCCAACCAATAAATATAGAAAGGATGACAGGTTTAGACAAATCTCTATTTTCTAGATTCTAGAAATAATGGGTCCAGAAAACGATTTTCAGTGGATGCTAAAACTGTTTTTTTTGTTGTTGTTGTTGTTGGGTTTTTTGCCTTTTTTGAGACAGGTTCTCACTTTGTAGCCCAGGCTGGTCTTGAACTCACAACGATCCTCCTGCCTCAGCCTCCCAAGTGCTGGGATTACAGGTGTGTGCCACCACGCCCAGCTAAAACTGTTAAGTGAAAGATTTTGTAGAGAAATTATCAAGCTGATCACTTCAGAATACTCTGGTCAGTTTGAACCTTAATAAAAATGGGACTATCAGACAATATGCACCACTTGATAAAATGCTATGGGATGCACACACCACTACATATGATGAAGTCATACTGCCAAAATGATAAACAGAAGGAATCATACTTTTAAATCAAATTCTTTGAAACCAAGAATTTGGAGAATAGGTAAGTAAACAAATGTCACAAGAGCAGCTAATTAGATCTAGAATGTGTAAATTTCTGCAGAAACATTGACCTGATTTCATCAAGTAATGAGTGGCATGAAAAAGAAGAAAGACAACCATTAATAATAAGGAAGACTTAAGAGACAAGGCAATTAATTTCATTGTGTGGGCATTTCTTGAACCTGGCTTTAATAAAATGGAAAAGGACACAAGATAGTGGATGAAATGTGCACCTGGGCCAAGTATTAGATAATATTTAGAAATTCTAATTTTGTTAAGGATGAAAATACCAACATGGCTACAAAAAAGAAAATGTTCTATGTGGTAGAGTTAATATGTACTTATGAAGTAAGATATGCAGACTTGCACTGAAACAGTTTAGCACTACAAAATGAATTTTAAAAGATGGAAACTAGATTGCTAAATGTTGGTAATTACTGAAGTGAAATTCTTCATGGTGGTTCATTGTTCTAATATTTCTACTTTTGTATGTTTGAAATTTCAATAATAAAATGTTCAAAGTCAGAACTGAAATTATAAGCTATGTGTTTAATTATTTTGTAGTACTGAGGATTGAACCCAGGGATTTCACACTAAGCCACATCCCCAGCCTTTTTTCCATGTCTGTGTGTCTGTGTGTCTCTGTGTGTGAGTTCTTACTATGTCACTAAGTTCTGCAGGCTGGGCTCAAACTTGGGATCCTCTTGCCTCAACCTTGAATGTTGTGATAATAGGCATGTGCCACCATGCTCAGCTAAAAAGCGTTTCTTTTCTTTCTGGTTTTTTGTTTTTGTGCTGGGGACCACAACAGGGCATCATGCAAGCTAAGTATCTGTTAGCCTTGGTGAACTACACTGTTAACCTCTAATTTGTTTAGAAATGCCAGGAATATAGCTCAGCAGCACAAGTGCCTGCCTGGCAAGTGCCAGGTCCTGAGTTCGATTCCCAGTACCAAAAATAAAATCAATAAGTTCTTTAGAAATTAATGATAATGAGATGCCTATATATCTAACCTTGTGAAATGTCACCAAAGTTCTATTTAGTGAAAAAAATGACTTAATCTACTATGGAGGTTTCGTCTGTGGGCCTAATCTTCATTGTATTCACTACCCACAGCTACCAATACAGGATCTGTCACATAGATGAATGTGTTGAAGGAACAAATAAGCATTTATATCAAGAAACTAGAAACAGCCAGGCTTTGTGGTGTGTGCCTGTAACCCCAGCACTTGAGAGGCTGAGGCAGGAGGATTGCTGTGAGTCTGAGGCCAGCCTGGGCTACATAGTGGGTTCAGGAACCAACCTGAACTACATAATGAGACCCTGGCTCAAAAAAGAAAGAAACTAGAAACAGCCTGGGGTGTAGCTCAGTGGCACAGCGCCTGCTTGGCAAGTGCCAGGCCTGGAGTTCAATTCCCAGTACAGGAAAGAAAAGAAACTAGAAACAACAAAATAAAACCAGAACAAATAAGAGAAACCAAATACAATAAGAAGGAGAAATTAAGACTGGAAATTAAGACTTGGTGGCAAACCTATGGCACATATGCTGCAAAAGGCAGCTCTAAAAGGTTCGCCCTTACTGGACTAGACAATAGATTTGACATTTAGTTTAGTTTTTTTTTTGTACCAGGAATCAAACTCAGGACCTTGCACTTGCTAGGCAGGTGCTTGTGCCACTAAGCTATATCCCTGGCCCAAAAGGTTTATTTAGGGAGGAAAGGTTTACCTTACAGTTTGTGGAGGTTTCAGTCCACACTCAGCTGGCTCCAAGGCAGAGTGGCACATGGCAGAGGGCAACTGTTCATGGTGGCAGAAGCAGTAAGAGCAGGAAGGGAAAAGCAGCAGCAAACCTCTTTCCCTTCCTTATATTATATGCAGGCTCCTTGCACCAGGGCAGGTGTAACACTCACATCCATAATCCCAGCACTGAACCATGGATTAATCAAAAACTCTAGAAGCCCACCCCGTGACTGCATGAATCTTTAAGGGGACATATAGACAGAAACCATGACACACGGTTGCACAGGAACTGTCACAAAGAATCAACAACTGGATCTCATTAAAAAGTTTTTGCACAGGAAGAGAAGCCACCAACAAAGTGAGGAGACAACCCACAATGTGGGAAAAAGTGTTTGCCAGCTGTTTCTCAGACAAAGGATTACTATCGAGAACATATAGAGAACTAAAAAAAACCAGACCTCCCAAATTTAAAGACCTAATCCAAAAAATAGGCATTTGAGATGAATACATACTTCTCAAATGAGGAAATACAAACAGCAAATAAATATATGAAAAAGATTCAACATCATTAGTCATTTTAGAGATGCAAATTAAAACAACACTGAGATTCCATCTCACCCCAGAAAGAATGGCTATTATCAAGAAATCAACCAAAAAGAAATGTTGGCAGGGCTGTGAGGAAAAAGGAACCCTTCTCCACTGTTGATAGGAGTGTAGACTCGTGCAACCACTGTGGAAATCAGTGTGGAGATGCCTCAAAAGATTTAGATTAGAGGTCCTATTTGACCCTGCTGGGTATCTTCCCAGAAGAATTCCAAGTATCATACCACAGTGGTATATGTGCACCCATGTTTATAGCAGATCAATTTGTACTAGCTAAATCTTGGAAACAACCCAAATGCCCATCAACCGAGGAATGGATAAAAAAGATTGGTCTTTTTATATAGTAGAGTATTACTCAGCCATAAAAAGGATAAATTGGAGACTTTTATAGGTAAATGGATGCAATTCAAGATCACAGTCATAAGTGAAACCAGACACATGTACAAATGTCATATTGTCTCCCTAGCATGTGCAGCTGAAAGAGTAAATAAGATCCAAATATACAATA